CCTCTGTTCATTTTTTTTCATCATGCTGGAGATGTCTGTTTAAATCTGTTGTTTACACATTTCTAAGAGTACTTTTAATACTTAAAATGTTTAATAATAACTTTTAATAATAAAATTTTAATACTTGGTTCTAGTGGACTCTAAACATTGCATTTATTTAATGTGAAAACCCAACTGTTGAGGTTCATTTAAACAGATTTTTTCCCCCTTTGTAGTTGCACTCACAGCTGTAACTAACAGAAGCCCAGAACATGTGGATATATTGACATTAAGAACATGCTGACTTTCTCAGACTTTTGTAATTATTTTCTTTTTATTTCATTTTTATTAGGTTTGTTTACATTTTTACATTTCGTCATTGGCTTGTTTACATTTATACTTTTTTATGGTACACTACTGAATGGCAAAGTTGCAAGTTTAATAAAATGATCTTTAAAATTGTTAATTTTTTTGGTGGGATATTAATCATTTAGATTAATCGATAAATTAGTCGATAGATTAATCGAAATAAAAATAGTCATTAGTGGCAGCCCTAGTCGAAGCTCATGATAACTCAATAAATCTTACCTTCTCTGGCTTTACTGGTTCAACTTCACTCTGTTTTGGCACCTGCTCTTCTACTATCGGCTGATCTTCATCATCGCTGTCTATGATTGCTCGACTGCGTTTATGAACCTTCTTTACTGGTGAATCGCTTTCCTGCACACCATTCTGAATTTTGAGGGGACTTTTTACAGGTCTGAGCAGAAGGAAGAGAAAAACATTATCATTATAACATTGCTTATTTGTTTTCATATTCCTTCAACTCCACAGCTGTCACTGTTACCAACGAGAATACACACAGAATCAACACAAAATGAGTTTTGAGGTTTCTACAACATTGTGTTCAATTAGAAAAAAAATTTGCTTAATTCAACAATTTAATTGGGAAAACATTGCTAAATATCACTTACTCAGTCTTTGCTTTGACCTGTCCATCACTCTTCTCCTTACTTTTCATTGGCTGAAAGAATGACCTGTGGGCGGGAAACAACGAGATTACGTTATAAAGACAAATTAACTCCCTCAAATTGATACGGTATTATAATTTCTGACATAAAGAAATTTAAAGAAATGCAGTTTAAAGGGGAAAGCCTTATTGTCACAGTTAGTGTAAGTTAGTTGGTGTAACTTAGGTTAAACGCGGTCTTGTATCAGAATCAGACACTGCATGTAATGTTCTGTGGTCAACATCACGGATAAAAAACCAGAAGAGCAGGACACACTCACGCTATGCTTCGCTGCATCGTTGGGGTCTTGCACTGCTGATACTGAATAAATCCGGAATATATATTTTTAATATATATTTTGGCGTGTTATTAAAATGTCTGAAGCACCGATATTTTCTTCCGCGCGCTATGATTCGGCGCCAAAGTGACGTCGTTCCCGCAGACGACAGAAACAACGGGGTTTATTTGGTACAAAAGCATTTTAGTGCCGCCTGTTGGATTGGAGGTATTGGATGCAACAGTTAGAAAAAAATTCTCATATTGTTTACTCAAATTCGGTTTGTTCACATGTTTATACTGCAATAATATTTATGGATTTAGTTTCCTTCTTGCTCATTGTTTCCGCTTTTTCCTTATTTTGTTCCCTCACAATAAGTAACCTTGTGTGTGTGTGTGTGTGTGTGTGTGTGTGGGTCTTGGTATTCCCTACATTATGGGGACCAAATGTCCCCACAAGTATAGTAATGCCAGTAAATTTTTGACCTTGTGGGGACTTTTTTTTTGGTCCCCATGAGAAAACAAGCTTATAAATCATACATAATTATCTATTTTGAAAAATCTAAAAATCCATAAAGTTTTGTGTGAGGGGTAGGGTTAGGGTTAGGGGATAGAAAATACAGTTTGTATAAAAAGTATAAAAATATACAAGTATAAAAATTTCCCCATAAAACATAGAAACCCAACGCGTGTGTGTGTGTGTGTGTGTGTGCAATTCCGTTTTTCTTTCATTTGTTTGAATGTTTTTAAAACAATGTTTAAAAAAAAACTTTCTGATCACCATTCATGTGTATATTTGAAATACATATATGGCCTGGAAACTGGAATTTATTTTACAAGATTTCTGATAAGAAAATGTGTTTTTGTGATGAAAGACTTATCTGAACAGAGCTGATCACATTGTGATATGATACTGTTTAAATTCAATAGTGTCTAAAAGCTGAATGACATACACAGAGATTGACTGATATTTTTGATAGTGATTTCACCATTTCAACATAATATATTGATATTCTTTCATTTTTTCACCAATCGAGATCAGGAAGTGCAAGAATGATTTCCAGAGGGAGTGACGTACAGTTATTGCAGTATGAGATAAGCTCTGTCCTCCTGTTCAGTCTTTGAACCCCACATGGAGAAAACAAGGCTGTCAACATACTTTAGAGCCTCAATGTGTGAATTATGATGCACACACAACACATATATGCTGACGTAATGATGTACTTTAACTTTTAGTTTCTGCATTAGTCACTCACATGTGATGCAGACATGGTTGCTAACACAGCATTCTTGTAACAATATTTTGAATGACAGATGAATTAGATAACTGAACTATTTTTACTTTGTTGTTCTCTCTATGAAGGCACTAGAAATTTGGCCAGTGTCTGAACTGATGTAAATACCACAAGTGAGGCCGCAAGGTGAAAAATATTTGTCTTTAAATAGTCTGTTGGTATGTCAACCTGACAGCCTATGATGATACGCGAGGGATTGGTTGTGAAACCTATTCCTGCTTTAAAAGAACTGGGCGGCAGACTTTTCGTAAAGTAGATAATTTCAAGTAAGTCTAAAAAATGCTTGCACAACAAACACACAAAGGATTGTAAACAAATGACTAATAGAAAAAAGTTCAATATAGTAAATAACAATTCTATATGCCCATTGTGTATACAGTGTTAAATGGTTTTAAAACAGGTCTCATGATCAAACAGACACAACAATGTTTGGTCAGTTATTAGGTACATCTAATTACTATGTACAAGAAATGAAAGAAGCATCGTTATTGTCATGTGAGCTCACTCATGTTAATTTTTACTTTCGTTTCAGAAATCTTTGACTGCAGTACTGGGAAATTGGAAAATGTGGGCAGATACAGGTGTGTCTTTAAATGATGCATATAAACAGACTGTATTTAAACTTCGCTAGTTCCCTTCTAGATACATAAACATATTTTTGTTTTGAGTTATTGAAGGTCTGATATAATGGCTGTAAAGGAACTGACATTTCTTGTGGTGTGTTCTTTGATTGTCTGTACTATTGGGGATGAATTCTTCACTTCAACAGGTATATTATTATTTATATTTGGATACAATATCAATTCATTAATTTGAGCTTATTTATTTTTTAATTGTTATTTTACTTTTTTTTTTGTCATATATTTCTCTAATGAGTTTAAACTGTTGCCATTAATTTTTTTTTATTTATTCATTTGCGAGACACTTCTGATTATAATCAGATTTATAATCAAATTTTCTATTTTTTAGTTATTGATTCCATTATTGTCTAAACAATTATTATCTTTCTCTTTGGTTTCTTACCTAATGAATAAACCTTTTTCATTATACCTCCAGTTATGTCGGGAAAAAAAATATTTACTGCTCTTTGACAATTAAGTGTAGATGTAATTGTTTTATAGATAAAATTTCACAACTTTTTGAAGAAGAAAAATTACTTCTGGAGACCTTCAATTGGTACATTGAAGCTGAAGAAGAAAATGTAAAGAGAATGAAGAGGTGAAAATTCCATATCTAAAAAATTAAAATATATATATATTTTTTTCAGTTTATAGCAATAACCTGGTATATAGGAAACTAATTGTGGATATTTAACAATCTTATATCTGGTCTTAGATCAAGATTAAATACATTTATTTATCACTACAACATTTGATGAACTTTTATCTTCAATCCAGCCTTCTTCTGCTGCTTCAACTGGGCTCATACTTAGACCCTGATGACCCTGATAAAATCAAAGACCCTGTGGCAGCTTACAAACTCCTCAGACGAGTGAGATCTGAATGGATGAACATTGTAGATTACACTCAACAGAGTCAATATCAATGTGAGAGCTTATTTATGTCATAAAGGGAAATGGGAAATAATCATGCATTGTAGTTTATTAATAGAAATAAAAATGTGGAGAACAAAGAGTCACGCAGTGATAAATGCTTTGAAGCTATTTTATTACACATGTTCTATGATCACAATGCCGTTGTTATGGATCTGGTCTCATGTTTGAAAATCTTGCAGTGTATCAGACACTACTGACATTAGCAAAGATCCCACAGCTGGAAGACTTGGATGGTGCAGCTTCAGGACTGATCAGACTGCAAGAGATCTACAAACTCTACCCACACAATATCACTAAGGGTGAAATGCCTGCACCAATGTGGTTTCATTGCAAGAGTTTAACTTTTTTCCATTCAAAACATGTTCCAATCTGATTGATGCTTTTATTTCTCATTTGACAGAAACGTCTCTAAATGCAGATGAAGCTTTCTATGTTGGGTTGGTTGCTTATGAAGAGGACAAATTCCAGCATGCCTTTCTCTGGTGTCTGTACAGTCTGGACAGATTAACAGAATACTCAACTACTAAAAGAAAAGATTTGCTACATTACCTTAGTTCCTCAGCCTATCATTTTGGCAGCCTGCCTGTGGCAATCTACTTCAGCCAACGGCTTTTAAATCTGGGTGAGCTCATGGTGTCCTGGAGTTTTTTAATGCTAATGTTTTTAAACGCAAGGTTTCAGACAGCTTTGCAATCAGAGTATTGAAGTCATAAACTTTGTTTGCCTCAGACCCAACTAACGATGAAGTCAAAGTTCAGCTGGACCTTTACAGATTCCTTCGCTTCCAGGGAGCATCATACCCTGACATATTCACACTGAACACAGAGTCAAGTAAATATGAATCACTGTGCAGAGGAGAGGTTGATGAGAGGGCAAGTGCAATGTCCTAATTTAAATCATTTGACAAGAAATTGCAAACAGTCAATGTGAAGCTTTGTGTACTGATTGGACGTTTATTATATTTGATCAAATCAGACCTCCAAGAGGCAGAGGGCGCTGTCCTGTAGGTACAGCACAGGTGGAGGAAACCCCAGACTGATGTATGCTCCAGTGAAAGAGGAAGTGGAGTGGGACGAGCCTCGCATCATCAGATATCATGATATTATTTCAGACAGCGAGACAGAGATTCTGAAGAATATCTCCAGACCTCAAGTGATATATAACACACACATACACAGAAATCAATCAAATATTTTTCACTATTATTCTAATCTAATATCTTGTTAATACTTTTGATGATGCTATATATATATATTTATTTTTTGATGTTACATTTACCTTTTGTGACCTACTGTAGCTTTCTAGGTCTGAGACTACAAGGGGAGTGTCGAAGACCCGTACTGCGCAAGGGTGATGATAATCAATTTTTTCACCCATTTTGTTCACTCAAAATGAACGTTTACATTACTTTTCTGTTAGTACTTATATTATTTCTTCACACTTCTTATTGGAAGAAAAATGGAAAGACTTTACAATATGGTTCAATTTGATAACAACAAATTAAGTGTTCTTGTAAAGTGTTACTGAAAAATAATTCCCTTGTTTTCAGTGTTTTTCTAGAGGAAGACACTATTGTGGTTGCTCCTATCAGCCAGAGGATTGCAGACATCACAGGACTATCCATGGACTCAACTGAAGAACTATATGTATGGTCACAGTAAGAAAGAAATCACCTATTCAAGCACAGACAGAATCTCCTTTTTAAGGACAACTCTGTCTCTGTCTTAGTTTAACAAAGCTTTGCAAAGCATGTTTTACTCAGTGTTTTTCTAGAGGAAGACACTATTGTGGTTGCTCCTATCAGCCAGAGGATTGCAGACATCACAGGACTATCCATGGACTCAGCTGAAGAACTATATGTATGGTCACAGTAAGAAAGAAATTACAAAGCTTTGTAAAACATGTCTTGCAGCTAGCTTGGTCACATTCTCTTGCATAATAATATAATATAACTTCCAGACAACGTTGGTTTAGTCTGCTTTTTTGTAACTTTTGCCAAAGAGCATAAATGTTTTGAGGACTGGTGTTATATTTTTATATAGTCGATTTTATATTCACCTCATTTATTAAACTTCAATGGATATCAAGGTATCTTCAACTGATTAATATGTATTTTCCTTGTGAAATATTAGGTGTTGTTGTACCTGAATATTTCATTTCAATTAAGGTGCAATCATTTTCCAGGTTCAGAATTATGGGATTGGTGGCAGATATGAACCACATTATGATGAATGGGTAAGATCACTATACAAAAAAAATCATTACATCAATTTGGCCAACACAGTATTTGCCATGGATTCCCCCTTTCCTTAGCCCAGAGAGAATCCATGGCTCTCTTTTAGGTTTTCAAACTGAATAGCTCTATTCTGTGTCAGTGAGAGTTTGATGACATACTAACCAATCAAATCATTGCACGATAACTTGTTTGATCTCACAGGACAATGAGAATGGAAGGATTGCTACATTCTTAATCTATGTAAGTTTGCCCTCCAAATTCCACTGTAAACATTAGAAGTTACTTCATATGATCATTCTCCAAATTACCTGTATTTTACAATCCTTATGAATAATAAATGGTATGGCTCTGTCTGTAGATGAGTGATGTGGAGATAGGGGGCGCCACTGTGTTCCCTGAAGTTGGAATTGCATTGAAGCCAAAAAAGGTAAACCCTCAAATCACTGATCCATTCGGTATATGAGAATGATTTAAGTAAAATTCATGCATCCTTTCTCTACTGATTAAGGGTTCGGCCGTGTTTTGGTACAACCTGCACAAGAATGGAAATGTGGATTTGTATACAGAGCATGCTGGATGCCCTGTGTTAAGGGGTAACAAATGGGGTAGGCTTTTAAAGATATTGTAACCGGCTTGGATTACTGTTTCATTGTGTATCTTCTATCATGTGTAAATAAATCTATGTTAATCTGACTAAATTTCATATATTGTGTCTTTTCAGTGGCTAATAAATGGATCTGTGAGTTTGGACAGGAGTTCAGGAGACCCTGTTCTTTGTCATACGGGGAGTGAAAGACACTGAGACCATGCAGAAATCATATGAAGTGTATCTGAACGATAGAAGTATCTGTTATATTTATTATGTATCATATCATTTTTGTAAATAGGATCTGTAACACAGATACTGTATTTTGTTTTAACTTTAACTGTGATTTACTACTGCAAGTAATGTTAATAATAATTCTAATATACAATAAAAAAAAGTACAATAAGTGCAATAGAGTAAAATAAAGTTTCAGCAAGATATCGGATAATCACATTACCTGGGTGGATCAATCCTAGTAGCCTGTAAGGAGTTATTCCTCTAAATGAGATGCTACTGTGTTCTTTGCAGTTGTATTTAAAGCTTGATTTTACACGTTTCCTCTTCAGTCTGTGTTGGAATGACGATTTACATGTTTTACAAGATTTGGAGTATGTGTAGTTGTGTAATGTGTTGATTATACTCTTTGTAATCTCCAATTTGTCATGGTCACCAGTTCTGTCACCTAATCTGAACTACATTTCCCATCATCCTCCTGCTGCTCACCTGCTCATTGTCACCAATCACCAGCTGTCTCTCATTCCACCTGCACTGGTTAAAAGGACTCACCACACACACACAGATTGTCTAGTCTCGTCTAAGACCTACCAGATTTTAGGCTTGTTTGAGATGCACCTCGCCTCGCCTGAAATGAAAGCGAGAGTAGGCGGCTGCAGTGAGGGGAGGAGTGAAATAAGCGCAGTCAAGACGGAACAGATACCTACGAGATCAAATGCAGATATCGCGTTATTCACACTCGTGTGCTGTGCTGCTGATTAACATGATATAATTTCAGTTCTGTTGCTTTTATATGAAAATAAATATGATGAACAAGACACTCAAAGTGCTTGCTATTTAATTCCATACGAAAGGTGTATTTATCATCCATTTTTACTTTAATACAAATATGTATTTTAGATTTTTATAGAAATATGACAACAATCACATATCTCACACAGATCGCACTGTCATAGTGTTTGGGAACATTCATGCGTAATTTAAATACATAATCGCATGGAACCAGATAAAAAAATAAAACATTTTAGAAGAGAACGCAGCATCACAGTTGTCTGAACCAATGAGCATTAAGCTATGTCGTCAGTCAGTCGTTTGCTATCATGCTTTTGATCAGCTGCAGTCGGTGGAGCAACTGCGCTCAACTGCGTAATCCGACACAGCCGCCTCGCCGTCGCGAGAGTTTTTTGGCACAAGTCAGCATGACATCAGAGCAAGTCGGACGTAAATCGGACACTTTTCTAACCGGCATGCATCTCGCGGTGATCGGTTCTTCGCAGATTTTGCTCATCTCAAACAAGCCTATTATCCTTGGATTGTTACTCACCTGAAGTCTACTTATGTAGTGATGGGAAACCGATGCTTTCTGAACCATTTGAGGCTTTCATCAAATTGTGCCGAAAAAAGGTTCATTACTCGAAGCTTTTAACACAATGCGCATTAGCGATCTGGTGCTCATACTTGTTTTCTCCTCCACCATATCTAACAAATCAAAGCGGAGCAGAGGATGTTTGCAAAATCACGTGTCCATACAGAGCTTTGGAAGTCTGTGACACACAAGAGTGGAATCAATCTGTAATCAGTACAGTTCCAACTAATCTGATATAATCTCATCTAAATTAATTTGTGCCAATGAGACCAGAACTCGTGTCATGTGTAGCCTGGTCAACGGATTCACATATTGATCAATAATATGTTCTGCTTGAGACCCTAGCTATAAAACATGCTTCACATTCTGTCTGGTGTTGAGGTTACAGTCCCTTGCGTCCCTTGCA